ATGTTTATGGTTGTTTTTAAACTAAATATTATTACATTTTTTTTAAATTCTGTAAATTTGATTACGATAGGAAGTTCAAGTGAGAAATCGTGACCAGTGGAGTTCAAGTGTGTCTGTTGAAGAAGCAGTTGCTCACTAAAGGCAATGGTGAAAGATCACGCAATATCGTGAATTGGTTGAATTTGAGCGTTCGTGTGCAAAATCAATAGGTCCTAAGCCCGAGTCCCTTTAGTTTGGGACCACGGATGAGCATTACTGAAGAGTCCCGTACTAGGACTAAATGGTCATCGAATGTTTTCAGGTTTTCAATGTTGATCTAACATTGATCCATTGATGATATAAATCTTAACTAAACAATCCCCACAACTAATAATAGGACTTTGTTTGAAGAATAACAGTATCTTAATGGTGCATTTTTGTGGAGGTTCATTTAATTTACAGATTGTACTCGTCGCAAAATTAATTTCATTTGATGTACTGTTGCAAACTATAGAATACCGGACAGATGTTTTATCCTAACATGATACCCTTCAAAAGTATGACCTCGCTGATATAAAACATACATCCTTATAAAACGTTTGAACGAAGTAAGTGAGCTTTAAACCTACTAACTTAGTATACATAATCTTAAATCAATTGAACTGGTAGTCACTCTATTATATCCCGTGAAGAACTATGAATGAAAACTTTTGAGAACTATTTATGGACCAATGTGATATGCATTTTACCTATTGTATAATTGTTAAGTAACTGAACCATTCGTATTCGTATCCCTCTTATTATAAGCTTCATTTTGACCTATAGACTATTACGATACGATTTACCGTTCTTGAGGTATCCCCAATCTACTAATTACTGTTCCCCTCATTCACAGCCCCATTTGGCCAAATCTTGTACACATGTTGTTTCCTATTTTATAGTACGGTGTGGTCTATTTGATTGGTATATGAACTAACTATGTATGAAATATAATGATTCATACCACAGAGGCTGTTCTGGACTTAACTGGCTGGGCTAGGCAGGTAGCAGGACCGATAAGCATTCTAGACTTCTCATACTGGTTTCGTGTATCATAGCTCTGATCGATAAAACCACTGTCTCTAATAGGTAGGTTCAAGATATAACAATTGGCGTCCACAGATCATAACACCTTCATTAAAAATTGATTAATCATTCATAAAGGATCAAACAATGATGAGATTAACCATTATAGAGTATTCAATAAAAAGAGACTCAACAGTTTAAACAATATCATTCTTATTGAAATGATTCAAAGTGTTGAATAATAAGCGATGAATCGAATGAATATAATATGAACAATGAATACTTACTTACTTACGTCTGTTACCCTTCCTGGAGGAGCATAGGCCGCCCACCAGCATTCTTCATTCAACTTTGTCCTGGGCAATCTTTTCCAGTTCTTTCCAGTTGTTATTCATACTTTTTCATATCTACTTCTATTTCCCGATGTAATATGTTCTTTGGCCTTTCCCCACCTGTAGCTCTTCTAGAGTTACTGCCGGTCTCAAGCCCGGGTAAAGGAGAAGGGTTAGGTATGGGACAAAAACTTGATAAAAAAAACCCAATTCAAACAATGGATATCTTCATAAAAAGTATCCATCATATTTATTAGAACCTTTAAAAATGTTTTTTTTTTAAAAAAAAACATTTTTATCATTCAAATAGATAACACCCATTTCTTTTTTAAGATCAATTAAAGGATACAGTTTATTCAATGGGTGTGTCATTCTCTTCAATTATAAGTAGATTATAAGTAGATTGAGATTTTTATGACAAAAAACAACAACAAAAGAAAGAAAGAAAGAAGGAAGGAGTGAATAACTTGAATTTAGGGAATAACAATCATAATAATAATTGGCTATTATTATCAATCCAATTAAGAGATGTAAAGAGAATCATTCAATTTTTAATGTTTCTTAGTGAAAACGATGATTTTATACGACTGTTTTAAAAGGGGATATGAGTGTAGTATGTGTTACTGATATCGACAGATATAAGTAGTATGTATCAACAATAGAAAAGGGAAATACCTGAAGACAGAAGATTAAGAAGAAAACAGAATGAGAACAGAGAATGATTAGTGTGAAAATGAAGGGGAACAATGAAGTCTGAGACTATTGATTGACATTTTACAGATGAAGTATTTACTGTATGAATACTAGTCATTCGATAATGTACTCAAGTACATTTGATTGTTCTCACACTTGTTCCCGTTCATTACAATATTATTGAAGAAAGATTTTAATTCTCCTGTTGTGAACAGAACACTGGTTGGGGACAATCAAATGTATTTAAGCAAAGATTACAGACTATCTCAATAAATCCTGATTACCAAACAATGAACAGTCAATTTGCAAATTAACAACCAATTGTTTCAGTCTTCACTGTTTCTTTTCTTATTCCATTGCTCATGCATTTTCCAAACGATTTCGCTTCATTTCAGTTCTTTCCTCATCGGTCTTCTGCCAAAATACATTCTATGTCTGACCCACACCATATACTACTTATATAGATATAAGTAGACCACACCACACTCCCTCTCTAAAAATAATTTAAATAAATGCTATTTAATAGTTGAGATCATGAGTCGATTGAAACTAGATCACCATAGAAAACCTGGAAGCACTGGACGGGTATTTCGTCTTATTGAGAGACTCCTTAGTGGCAATGCGCATCCAGGATCCCACCTAATGAGATTCTAACCCAGTACCTATCAGTATCACGCGCGAACCCTTAACCTCTAGACTATTAAACCGGCATCCAACTGTTAGCATGATGGGCTAGCTTCAATTGACTCATGATCTCAACTATTAAAAAAATTACTATAATATCCACAAAACCCCCTCTCCGATATTAATCAACATATGATCACTAGTGACAGGATTCAAGAGGTATTTCCTGGAGTTCTACTGAGAAGCAGTGACCAGTTGAGTTCAACCAAGTTTGTTGTGATATAGTAACTCATTGAAGACAATGGTGAATGTGTCGCTCAGTTATATAGATTGGTTGAAGTTAGACATCAACACTGTTGGTAAAATTTAAATTCATTTTGCTTATAATACTTGTGAATTCAGACAATATCGATGCAATACACACAGTATGTACATGTACCAATAATAAGAGATTGATCAATTACAGTCTTAAACGTCAATGGGAAGATTCAAGTAAACAATATCAAGTGAATTTAAATCCAAACCTATTTATTATTGGTGTTATATCTTGTGTCTGCCTATAAAAGACAGTGATTTTATCGATGGAACCAATGACACATGAAATCTGTATGAGAAGTCTAGAGTACTTGTCGGTCCGACTTTCTGTCGAATCCAGCCAGTTATGTCCAGAACATCAATTACAACCTCTGCAATATGAATAATTATTCTCAAACATACTGAGTTTATGTACCAACCAAATAGACCACATCGTACCATAAAATAGCGAACAACATCTGTCCAAGATTCGGCCAAATGTGGCTGTGAATAAGGGGGACAGTAATTAATAGACTGGAGTATAACTGAAGTACGATAAATCGTATAATAATAGTCTTAAGTCAAAATGAAGCTTATAATAAGAAGGATATAAATATAAATAGTTGAGTTACTTAACAATTATGCAATAAGGAATATACACATAGTATTGGTCCATAAACGGATCCCAAAGTTACCATTCATAATTCTCTTCAAGTTAAAATCGTTGGTCATAATTATCATATTTTGATTGAATTAAATAAACATTTGAAAGATAACACTTGAAATTCTATAGTAAAATAAAGTAATCATAGTGATGTTATAATACATCATGTGTACATTTGTATTGTAGCACGTTGTATTTCGACGTTTACTTGGGAGCAGGAGCGACCTGAAACAGCAACACAACAGTCAGGACCGACAAGTACGTCTGAAGTGAGAACACGGTGTGCTGGTACAGCCGATATATTTAAAATTAAAATACGCGGTTTTTAGTACAAAACGGTAAAGTTATTACAAAATAGTTTTACTCGTTATTCTGCAGGTTCAGACGGCGTAGGGCTTGTTCTTCTTCTTCTTCTTCTTCCAGTGCATTCACTCTTTGTTGTCCTGCAATGAGAAATACAAACACACATTATTAATGTTGCATGTAATGATTTTTATTACCGTTACAGTATGTACATTTATAATTGAATCAAATACATAAGTAGATTAGAGTTAATATAGTAAAACAGTAGAAAGCACAGACTGATATTTGTTCTATGATCTTTGACAACATGGAAGTATTGAACACTTGTTTTATAATGACATTAGATTAATGAACAATGAATATACATGACTCTGTTAATGATTGAACCTAGGATCTTCTGGTCATATTATTAGTCGCTAGACATTAGTTTACATGTGTACCTTTAATCATGTTCTCACTAATAGTTAGTTTGGAAGAGGTTATAATGTAAAGTTATAATTCGTAGACTTTAATCACGTTAGATGTAAGGCATTTATTTACTAATGATATTAATAATTATTGTGGATTAATCTCGATTTACGAAATCTATTATTAGTTATCGATTGAGTAAATTGAATATCAATCGTTAACCATCAAACATGAATGTCATGGCTTTTATCATTATTGTAGCTGTTGATATACGGTTCCGAAATGTTCTATACTTGGACGAAATAACTGTTTAATGTTCCCTAGTTTTCTATAATCGTTTTAACGTAGGTCAATCAATGGTATAAACTATAAAAAATATAAACCAATTTACTAATAAATCGAATGAATATCACTAATGTTACATCAGATGTTACCAACTTTACTGACAATCTGGTTAGATTTAAACAATCATTTATCATTATTACTGTATTTGTTCCTATATTACATAGATATAAAATTTATGTGTTAGACTTAATTAAATACAACGGGTTTTTTTTTCTTTATTCAGGTCATATTACTTCATTCCCATTCTATCTCTCTATATCTCTCTGTCTTTCCCTTACTGACAATAACGTCATATGTTTAAGGTCATATACTGGTCGGGTAATAATCCTTTAATCATTCTATTTATATTAATTACTTCAATAACTACTACTACTACTACTACTACTACTACTACTACTACTACTACTACGACTAATACTACAACAACAACAACTACTACTACTACTACTATTAATACTACCACTACCAATACCACTACTACCACTACTATTACTACTACTACTACTACTACTACTACTACTACTACTACTACTACCACTACCAATACTACTACTACTACTACTACCACTACCAATACTACTACTACTACTACTATTAGTACTACTGTGGTGTGGTTTACTTATATCTATATAAGTAGTATATGGTGTGGGTCAGACATAGAATGTATTTTCGCAGAAGACCGATAACGAAAGAACTGAAATGAAGCGAAATCGTTTGGAAAATGCACGAACAATGGAATTAAAGAAGAAACAGTGAAGATCGAGACTATTGGTTGTTAATTTGCAAATTGACTGTTCATTGTTTGGTTTTCAGAATTTACTGAGATAGTCTGTAATCTTTGCTTAAATACATTCGATTGTCCCCAACTAGTGTTCTGTTCATTACACTATTACTACTACTATTACTACTACTGCTATTACGAATATTACCATATCCTATAAATGAACTGTTACTGTTCACAATTAACTTTGAAGTAATTTATGTTATATCTGTCAAAAGCAACACTTGATTTATACTTATTGCATATAATTAGTTATTAATTTCATTAAGGGAGACTATACTGATATGGGAAAAAAAGTTTGTTGATAGCATTTGTGCATTCATCAACTAATTCATATATTCTAGTAGATAGAGATTCATAATAACACCTGGATCCTCAGTGTAGTTATTGACAATCCAAAGTTTGTGTATAGTCAGAGAGTTAATTGTAAGGTTAGTAACCATATCTGTTACAAAGAATCCCCCCAGTAACAAAATGCTAACCAACAGAATACATTTGAAAATCATGTAATATGATATTAACAACAGTAAATATAGTAATATCTCAGTATTCTTATGTTTTTCGATTTTTATTTTTTTTTTTGAAGGGGGAAGAGGGGGATATTATAATTTACAACTACGTCGGCAATTCAAAGTCATTCAGTGAATTATTCAAAGGAACTGATGCTTTTGATAGAGTTAAGTTCTTTGTGCTAGATGGTTTGTTCATGGGGCTTTCATAATCCTTCTGAATGAAATCATCGGCGCAAACTTGGGCTCCTCAATGAGGGGTAACATAAGTAAGTAATTTATAAAAATACTCAAAATGTGCACATATGGGTATATATATATTGCGCCTCCGTCTATCAATATTCTTAGTGAGTTACTATCTTGCAACAGGCCCGATTGAACTCCATGAGATCGGTAGGTCCTGAGTTCGAATCTTGCTAGCGTGATCGTGGATGTTTACCGCTGACGAGTTCCACAGTAGGACGAAATGGCCGTCCAGTACTTCACGGTTTTTCATGAAAAAAAAAACTGACTCATGAAAATAACTAGTAAATTACTATTATTTCCACTAAACCCCTTTCTAATTATAAATATGTATGATTCACCACACTAAAAATTTGACTTACCTATTGTCCTTCAGACTGATCGAAACTAATGTGATTAACTATGTACATATATGAAGATGTACGGTATCAACATGGTTTGATTTATACAAATGTCATCGATTGGATTCATATATATACAAATTGTATATGAGTGAAGTACACATTGTATACAATAGACAAAATCTGTATGCATGGATACATATAGAGATTTACATAAACATGTTTGGACATATATACATATCTATCTCTGTTTATATACCATAGCAACTTCTAAACTCTTTCATAATTTAATGATTATAGGTTTAATAGTACGTTATCTTTGTTTCAGTTTATGGGGGGATGGGGGTGGAGGGGGGTAGGGAGGAGTATAAACATTCACATTATTCTAATCTGCCTATACCAAGTTTTTCCAAGTATCTAATAATGTCATCAATGTATATATGTAGACATTTTTCAGAATTACCTTTCAGCACTTTATTGTTTGATCTCATTCAGTAAATTGTAAATATGATCATAAGTAAAGATGGATAGTGGCTAGTAATCAAATCCAGTTTGACAAGCGTTTCGTCCTATTTGAGACTCGACAGCTGGATGTACACGTATCTCAGAGTTAATGTTCACTCTGGAACTCGAATCCACTACCTTTCGCTTCAAACGCCATCACGTTATCTACTTAGTTACTGAATCCTGATAACCACTTGCTTGTGTGATGGGGTGAAGTTTAAATTCACTTAGTATTGTTTGGTTGAATCTTCCCATTGATGTTTAGGCCTGCAATTGATCAATCTCTAATTGGCATATGTGTAAATATGATAGTTTTTGCTGTAATGAACAATCGTCTAACTCAATGTATAGTATTTGCTTGTTTAGTAATAGATTGGAAGAAAGCTCAAGGCTGTCAATCTAAGAAATGATAACACAATTCATGAAATCATAGACTGTTTATCTGAATCATATTGATAAGTGTAGATTACCTGATTGGAGTCTATGTGACTATCGTAACTGATGGTTTGATATGTTAGATAACATGACTTAAAATCAATCACAATGATTCGGATATATTTACTCGTTACTATCTTTACTACTCTGAAACTTGTCCTAACAATTCCCTCTCAATGAGTTGATATTATGTGGCAACTTCAACCAGTACACATATGTACCAGATTCTAAAGTGTTTATGACTTACCGACTGACTTATAATGCTTAACAGTGGTAATATCCTCGACTGTGACATTTGATGACACTGGCTCTAATCGTATGTGAGGCAACAGTTCTTTCAAGATTACTTTCTTGCTTACGCCTGTTACCCCTCGTCGAGGAGCATAGGCCGCTCACCAGCATTCTCCATCCAACTCTGTCCTGAGCCTTCCTTTCCAGTTCTTTCCAGTTGTTATTCATTCTTTTCATATCTGCTTCTATTTTCCGAAGTAATGTGTTCTTTGGCCTTCATCTATTCCACTTCCCTTCCGGATTGAAGTTAGGGATTGCCTTGTAATGCACATTGGTGATTTCCTTAATGTATGTTCGACCCACTTCCAACGTCTTTTCCTAATTTCCTCTTCAGTTGGAAGCTGGTTTGTTCTCTCCCATTAAACGCTGTTGCTGATAGTATCCGGCCAGTGAATGTTGAGTATTTTGCGTAGACAACTGTTTATAAATACTTGTACCTTCTTAACGATGGACGTAGTAGTTCTCCAGTCTTTCAAGATTACACATACATTTTGATGACTAATTCTAACCACCACATCATTTATGTGGAAATGAATCTCCTGCCAACTCCTTTCGAATAGCTAACTAAAATTCTTTTCAAACATACTGCATTTGATGAAAAGATATGATGACCATTGTAATATTATGAAATGATTAAAATCAATGAAATAAGGATCCTAATTAACTGACTGGATGATCACAGCTTACTCTATAAGTATTGAATTTAAACCAACTTGGAATCTTGACAACAATTAGTCGAGAAGTTTCAAAATTGATCAAAATAACCCCAGTTCTTCAAATTCAGAATGTGTAAGTAACATTCATACATGTTTAAAGAGTTAGCTTTTAACTATTGACTAATAGAAGATATCAGAGGGGGTTTTGTGGAGAATTTAGTATTTTCACAGTTGAAATCATGAGTCAATTGAAGCTAGACCACCATCGAAAACCTGGAAGCACTGGACGGCCGTTTCGTAGGTCCTGGGTTCGAATCTCGCTCGCGAGAGCGGGTTTCGTGGATGCGCACTGCCACTGAGGAGTCCCATAATAGGACGAAACGGCCGTCCAGTGCTTCCAGGTTTTCGATGGTGGTCTAGCTTCAATTGACTCATGATTTCAACTGTGAAAATAATAGAAGATATGACCATGATTGATTAACTTAACTATTTAAGACCAACTTCATGTAGTAACTTGAATGAATCGGCGAGACTGTAAGTTATGGACAAACCAATCAGATTTAGAATAAGAAGTCTTGAATGTTGACGGAAAATTCATCCATTCATTTGTGTAAATAACGTTTTGGCGTTTTAGCTAATGTCACTTTGTGATGAAAACGCTAAATCCAATTCTTAACCTTAACTATCAACTGGAAATTATTTATTTATTTAAACACATAAATATTGGTACAAAGGGCAACCAGATATATATGCGCCACACAAATCTCATTTGATTTGTGTGAGGGCTATGGTACTGTCCGGGTGCCCAAATCGAAACAGGTGATTTTCTTAGGGGCCCACACCCGGAGCCTTTGACTTAAAGATCTGATCCACAAGACAGTGAAGCATCGTGAGGAGATGCAGTCCCATGGTAGCCAGTAACCAACGATTGATTCATGCGCCATTTGTTTCCTCAGGATCCTAGAGCCCATGTGCATCATTGGTTTGGAATCAGGATTTCTCAACTCCCCTAGGTGGACTCTCCGTGTCCACCGGCCCGGTTAAAGCATCAGACATTCGATTTTCGTCCTATCAATTTCTTAAACGACAGTAATGCTATGAGAAGTTATTGAGTAGGACTTCCCTGACAGAGGCTATATACTCGTGGTCATGTGAAAGCATTTGGAGAGGGAGAGCGGACTCTCCCCACTCTCGGCCATACCAGGGCATTTTGTGGCTTTATAATCCTTATTTAGTCCTACTTAGTAGGTGGATATTCTTAAGGTTTTTAAAGCGTCGCTCAAATGTTGTTCATAATTTATAGTCTCAAGCTGAACCTCTTTTAGTGAGAAGTAGTTGTTAGTGAAGTTCAATCATGTTAGGAGTAAATGAGTTACTCATAGATAGTATTCAACAATACTTGAGGTCGATGTGAACGAATTGAGACTGAAACAATTGATCTATTATTAACTTACATATGATACGAAATAAAGATGCCAACTAAAAATCCTGTTAAGGTCATGATGACGCTCTATGGTTGTCAATGGATTGTCATTTGATATCCATTCCTTGACAAAAACAAAACCCCCACCTCTCTTTCATCTTAACATCCCCTTTAGCTCTTATTCGTTTACAACAAAACCCCCCTATTCACATTTGAAAACTAAAATACATAATTCTGTTCAATCATTTATTTATTCATTTCTATATTCAGATTTCAATCTGAAGTATCATCAGTTAATTTCAACCTACGACACATATATTGTAAACTGTTAAGTTACCATAGTAAAGTTTAACGACGGTAGTAACCAAAACTAAGCAACGAAAAGTGGTATTATGACATACATTATTCTGATGGCAAGAGATTACTACTTAGACATCACTATGGTAACGGAATGTCATAAATTGTAGTTCAGGGAAATGCTTCTTACTTGAAGATGAACAAATAGATGTATATTTAAGACGGAATAAATTATGATAGATAGATAGATATGTGGAAAGATAGATAGATATATTGATAGATATTGAGATGGTGGAGAAGATTTGTAGCTCAGGTGGGTGATTTTGATGTAGGTTTGTTCCCTGAGCTGGATGGTTTGGTCATGGAGCTCATAGAACAAACCTACATCAAAAATGGATAGATATAGATAGACGGATAGATAGGTAGGTAGATAGATAGAGAGATAGGGAGATAGAATAATAGATAGATAGATAAATAAGTAAATAAATAGATAGATAGATAGATAGATAGATAGGTAGGGTGATAGATAGATAGGTAGATGGATAGATATGTGGATAGATAGATAGATAGGTAGGGCGATAGATAGATAGATAGATAGATAGGTAGATGGATAGATATGTGGATAGATAGATAGATAGGTAGGGCGATAGATAGATAGATAGGTAGATGGATAGATATGTGGATAGATAGATAGATAGGTAGGGCGATAGATAGATAGATAGGTAGATGGATAGATATGTGGATAGATAGATAGATAGGTAGGGAGATAGATAGATAGGTAGATAAGAAGTGTATGTACCAAAGATGTTTTTTGTTCTTCAAATCTATTAATTGTATTAACACAAATGCTTTAAGGTATTTCGAATAAAAATCAATATTTAAGGTCATTGGTCAATGTGCATAGAAACGTAGCTCATTCATTTATTTAACCTTGTAATTAATTAACTTTCAGCTAATTGAGTTATACAATTAACCAATTACAATTAAGTAAAATACTTTTCATTTGTCCTAGAAAAGTTAATGTTTTTCATAAATTAATGTCAACAAATATATTTTATATTTTTAAGATCATCAGTCAATTGAAGCTAGACCACCATGGAAATCTTGGAATCACTGGACGGCCGTTTCGTTCTATTATGGGACTCGTCAATGGCAGTGCACATCCACGATCCCGCCTCGCAAGATTCAAACTTAGGAGCTATCAATCTCGCGCACGAGCGCTTAACCACTAGATCACTGAATCGGCCGGCATCCAGCGATGTTAATACCCAACCTCAACCAATCCACGAAATTGAGCGACCAACTTCCATTTTACTAAGGTAGATACCTGTCTCTATCTAACCCCCTTGTGATAATGATCATATGCCCACTAGTGACTGGCTCCATCACGTAATTCCTGGAATTTTAGTGAGAAGTCGTGGCCAGTGGAGCTAATCC